GGAAAATATCCCTCCAGTTTGATAGTTAAACAATAATAAACAGCTACCCTAAACTTATAGGCGCAGACTTAACCAAGTCGTCATTTTGTTCTTAAACACAAATTGTTTAATATTTCCTTCATATGAATTTTGAAATTAGAGTTATAAAGAGGATTTAAGTACATAATAGAGCAAAAAAAGGAAAACAATTTTTTTAGATATTTTTCAAACTAATGAAAATTTCAAAACACAATTATGCCATTTCATAGAAAATTTAATTCTGAGAAGAAAATATTCTATTAAATTTTTGCAAAAATCCTTTTTGAAGAGAGCCATGATGGAAAATAACTAAAAAACTTTCCGAATTTACGATTTTAAAATCACAATATGTTTTAAGGGTTGACGGATCATAGAATGTGACTTATGTCATTTTATCCGGCGTGAAATTTTTTGAAATATTTTTTTCTAGGGTTCTGATTAGATATACTACTGAAATTTAACGCGCTGAAACTATACTAAAGTTGGGTACATAAATAAACATAATAAGAAATGTCTACATACTAGACTGAAACGACAAGAAACCGCTCGATGTTTCCGATTACTTCAGCACTTACTAGACAAACGCTCTAAACTTCCAATTAATTACAAAAGACTTATATACATGATTATAATAAGGACTATTTGGACTTACGGAATTGAGCTCTGGGGCTCCACTAAACCATCGAATTCCTCTCGTATCCAATCCTTACAATCCAAAATCCTTCGTAAAATCCTCAACGCGCCTTACTTTGTCATAAAAAAAACTATCCATAATGACCTTAATATTTCTTTTGTTTCAGATCTGGCCCAATCCAGATACCTATCCTTCCATAAAAAAACTTCAAAATCATCCCAACCCTCTCGTTTCTAACCTTGCTTCCTCTTCAACCCTCCGAGGCGTCTGAAAAGAAGATGGCCCAGTGATCTCCTAATTTAGACATATCATTAGAGTGCTACCATTGTGTAGTTACTCAGCAAGTGTTTTCATGTCATTATATCAATATGTTCAAATTTACTAGATGTACTTATTTAATAAAATTGTAAATATCATTATGTAATAAAAAACAAAAACAAATGGATACGAATTAAATAAATCAATCAAATATATACATTATTGGCAATTTTATGTTGAAGATTTAAAAGTTATATTGAGTAATAAATGCAAAGCATTGAATGTCGGATGCTACTAGAACCTAATCAAATTAGATGAATTTTTTTTATTGCTTCATGTGGAACAAAATGACATATTAATATTCTATAATCCCCCCCCCTCCCTCCCACCCGTAAAAGATATTGTGATTATAAAATCGTAGCTCTGGAAGATCTTTTAGGTATTTTCCATCATAGCTCTCTTCAGAAGGCGTTTTCTCAAAAAAGTAATAGATTATTTTCTTCTCAGAATTAAATTTTCTATGAGATGGCATTAAAAAAAAAAAAAAATTGAAATGTTTATTAGTTTGGAAAATACGTAAAAAAAATAGTTTTCCTTTTTTTTTTGCTCTATTAGCTACTTAAATCCTCTTTACAAACTTTAATGTCAAAGTTCATATGATGGAAATATAAAAATTTTGCCTGGAAGAACGAAATGGCGACTTGTTTAAGTTTTGACCTCTGTGTGAGGGGAGCGAGAAGGGAAGAGAATATTATTTCGCCCTTTCCCTCTCTCCCTCATATTTCAAAGAACAAAAAAATAATAAAAATCGGACAGTTAACGTCAGTTCTGCCGTTAAATAAAACTTCAAATTTCGTCACTTAAATATAAATTTTCAATATAAATATAAAGACTGGTTTATTTTTGTACAGAAAGGATTTGCACTTTTTTAGTGGATAGTGAATGAGATCCAGCCGAATATATAAATAACGCTCATTCGGAAAAAGTCGGCTCGGGTCGACTAATTTCTGCATTTGGCTTAAAATCTTTCAGAAACCAAAAATCGGACCTACATACTCTGAGAGAAATGTTCAGCATTCCACTCTTTTTGTAATGAACAATTGTATCTATAAGTCACGCCGAGTTAGAGAGTCATATCTCAAAATTTAAATGCAATGGAGGATTCAAAAACTAATTTGCCTCTGGCCGACAGGGTTTAGAAATTTCCTCAATTCGACCAATATCAGCAGGGATGCCTCAAGGATCAATATTGGCACCTTTACTCTACATTGTCTATACGCACGACATGCCTACCAACTCTGAAACATTAACTGCTATTTAGAACAATTTTAACAAAACACCTTGACCCCAGACTAGCCTCATGAAATTTACAAAATCACTTAATAAATTTACAAAATTGGTGATCACTTTGGAAAATTAGATTAAATCATGACAAATCACAACACATAACATTTACGCTTCGACGAGACACATGTCCAATAGTTTTATATCAGCACAATACAATTCTTAAGACGAACACTATACGCTACCTCGGACTAATATTCGACAGAGGATGACCTAGGGCCCACACGTCAAAATGAAAAGAGAGACTTTGAACAAGTGACTGAAAATACTATACTCACTTTTTTCTAAATCAAAATTGAAAATTAGACAAAAACTAAATACATACTCTTACCTGCTCAAACCCATTTGGACATACGCCTCACAGATTTACGGTTCAGCAAAAAAAGACTCAGTAACAAAAACTACAATCCTTTCAATCTATAATTTTAAGACTAATAACTGCAGCTCCCTGGTACGTCAACAACAAGACTTTACATACCGACCTAAGACAACCAACCATTGACCAGCACATACGTACTCTCTACTCCCGATTTCATCTTAAACTACGTGGACTTATCAATGACATGGTTACGGCTAAAATGCTCATCAGAAGGCGACTGAAAAGGAGCTGGATGAGAGATCTCCTTTCCTGATTTTAGGATGTAAATAGACCAGGGAAGAGGTGCTGCTGGGTTCCATTCTTCGTCATGCCTATCATGTCATTTTCAACTTAACATCAAATCTATTAATTGTCACTACCATGACAGGTGCGGATGAAGAATTGAAGACAAAAAAAAAATTATTAATCTCACTTTTTAAAATGTTTTTACTAATATCTGGTACACTTTTTTTTTTATTAAAGCAGTTTTTAAGCCGATTCGTTATAGTTGAGAATTAATTGAGCAATGAGAATTTTATTTTTTAATTTATGAATTTTAGGTTTACCTTTTGATATGAATCTATATACAAATATTTGAATATCGCTTATAGGAAGATCCTTTATTTATTTTTTCGTTCCTCCCCTTCCTCGCCGTTAAGGTTATGCGGGGTTACCCGGATCAGGGACTGGGAGTGGGAATTAATGACAGAGTTAAAAGACTCCCTTGGCACCGAGACTCGAACTCCTGACTTATTTTTATTTAGTAATCTAATTGATCAGGTTGCCGGGCAACTGCGTTGCTGTGCACACAAGTTAGCCCGTTCGGCCACCCCGCCCCACGCTATCGGAAGATCAGAAAACGCAATCAATAACTTAGTCGATAGCTTAAAGGAAAGATCTCCCATTGAGAGTCAACAATTCGGAAAGAACGCTCGCTCCTGATCGAGTTGAGGGAAAGGGGCAGAGGGATGAATGAACTTGTATCGATCCTAGACCACGTGTCCAACTCGATTCATCGCACTTCGTCGTCGATTATACGCTTCATTACCTCGCGCCTTCAAAACCTCTTGTGAATTAATAAGGTGTGTATATTTCAGCTTTAACTATCTAATCATATAATATTCAAGGCTGCAATACCGTAAGTATTTCTTGAAGTTATTGCATAGAACATGAACACCGGTATAATTAAAAAAAAAAAAAAAAAAAATATATATATATATGTATATATTGAGTTGGAAAATAAGTCCTTTCGGTTTTTCTGTTTATTCTTACGTCACTATTTTACATTTCTTATCTGATGAATTAATCCCTAAGGTGGATTGTTTATCCTGTTTGTAATATGTCAACAACTATACATGTTAACTATTGTTGAAACTAGCTTAGTATAGTGTTTGCTATTGTACTGTGAATATATAAGAAAATATCATTCATTATAGGCATATTTTGTTATATTATTTTAAAAATTATCAGGTTTTTGTAGGTGGTTCTCTTTAGCGATACTGTATATTTGTGATGAATAAGTCCATATGGGTTTAAGTAAGTATGTATATGTATTCAGTTTTTGCTTTAGTTTTAGTTTTGAAGATTTAGAAAAAAGAGAGTAAAGTATTTTGAGTCGTTTGTTAAGTGTCTTACGTTATATATTAACATGCGGACCCCATGTCATCCTTCTGTGAGTCCAAGGTAAAGTACCGTGTCCGTCTGAGGAATTTGATTTATGTCAATATAAACTGGAGGGCAGGTGTTTTTTCGAAGAGTAAATGTTGTATGTTTGGATTTGTCATGATCAAGTCGAATTTTCCATAATGTGAACCAATCTTGTAATTTGAGTAAATGATGTTATAGTGTTAGTGAGGCCTGTGTAGGGTCTTGATTCTTTGTGAGAATTGTTGTATAGTCTGCATAAGTAGCTGTCAAGATCTCATCGTTAATAGGTATATCGTAAGAGCATATGACGTAAAGTAGAGGGACTAGTATTGAACCTTGGGGAACTCCTGCCAAGATTGGAACTGAAGACACTTCCGAGCCCTGCCGAACTGAAAAAAATCTGTCGAAGAGGAAAGATTGAAGGATAAAGTTTAAAGAGAAGACTCTGGTGCCTCATTTACTTTTAAAGAATGATACATCAACATAGTTTTTTGTTCATCCAGCAATCTTATTATTGTTATTTTTTGAAAATCTAAGTGTAATTTTTTTAAAATTTTTATATAGACAGGTTTGGAAAAACGAAGGGAAAAAAGAGGCCGTTGCTTCAGGAGGCTAATTTAAAAAAATTGTATTGTTAGCTTTTTTTTTTTTTTTCTCTTTTTGATTATTTTAATTTTAAAGGTTTTCAAATATACAATGGTTCTAAACCAAAAAAATAATTAAAATTTATATATAACTTACCGAATATCTCTCCTTGGCTGGCGTACTCGGAGACAATATAGATCATGTTCTTCGTTTCCATCACCTGGAAAGGAAAAAAATAGAATTAAGAATATAACAAGTTTATATTCAACTAGTTGGCTCGTGCGAATAATTCTTATAATAATAATAATAGTAATAAAAGGCTTAGTGAACCCGAAGGTTCGATGCCGACATCTAATCGCTTCTATCTCTAATCGCTATTAACACTCATCCCTCCACCCTCAAACCCAGTCCCTTCAGATCGGCTTTAACGCAATCTTCCCACCTTCGCTTCGGTCTACTCCTCTGACGTTTACCAGTCGGCACAGCAAATATTAACCTTTTTGGAATTCTTACGTTACTAAGTCAAACAATTTTACAAGCTCATTTAATTCATGTAATGTAATCACCTCCATTAATCGGATACAATTCACGCAATTAGGCGTTGTGTAACTGTTTGAACTCTCCGGTTAGCTCATCCTTCTCCGGTCCGAATATTCTACGCAATACTTTATTTTCGAAAACCTTAAGACCTTGCTCATCTTTTAAAGTAAGCGGTGACGATTCCCATGCATAAAGAATCGTAGGTAGGATAATCCTTTTATAGATTCTAAGTTTTAAGTTCCATGACAGGAGGCGCGAGCTAGGCAATTTTGTCATAGAAAAATAAGAAGCACTCCCGCCTTCAGTCTAACCATAATCTCTTCTACAATTTAGTTTTTTCTAGCTATCGTAGAACCTAGATACCTAAATTTATCTACCTGTTCAAACATATTACCATCTATATCGATATCACCAGTAGTATCGCCATTTTTAACCTTAACTTATCTACGTGTTCCAACATATCACTATATAACATATTATGCTTGGGATGTTACAGAAACTTTTTCGTCAAAATCGGCATCCCAGAAGTGGCACTTTATATAATCGATTTAACACTTATTTACGATTTTTTAGAATACGTTTCTAACTATCTTTTTATTAAATTAATTATATTAGTTTTTTTAATATAATGTAGGTTTTATTCTCATTGATGTTCTCTAACAGGGCTTTTTTTTATTTCTTTATTTAGAACGGTATCACATAAATACATCAAGTAAATTTGGACATAATTGATATAATGACATGAATACACTTGCTGAGTAACCAATGGTAGCACTCTAATGATATGACTACATTAGGAGATCACGGGGCCATCTTCTTTTCAGACGCCTCGGAGGGTTATCAGGAATTGAAGAGGAAGCAAGGTAAGAAACGATAGGGTTGGGATGATTCTGAAGTTTATTATGGAAGGATAGGTATCTGGATTGGGCAAGATCTGAAACATAAGGAACATTAAGATCTTTATGGATTATTTTATTAGTGACAAAGTAAGGAGCATTGAGGATTTTACGAAGGGTTTTGGATCGTAAGGATTGGATGCGAGAGGAATTCGATGGTTTAGTGGAGCCCCATAGCTCAACTCCGTAGGTCCAAATAGGTCTTATTATAGTCAAGTATATGAGTCTTTTGTAATTAATGGGAAGTTTAGAGCGTTTGTCAAGTAAGTGCTGAAGTAATCGGAAACGTCGAGCGGTTTCTTGTCGTTTCAGTCTAGTATGAGGATTCCAAGTTAGTCGTTTGTCCAGGAAGTCGTTGGTTTACGACGAAGGGTAAAGGTAATTTGGTGGGATTTATTGGAGTTTCTTTAAATTCTCCAGTTTTGACACCATTCTTCTAGATTTATGATGTGTGATTGAAGCATTTGGGATGCAATTGCTGGGTCATTATTTACTGACAGGATTCATGTATCATCGGCATATGTGGTGATGACAGTGTTGGGACAGGTAGGGATGTCAGCTGTATAAACTGTATAGAGGATATGACCTAGGATACTACCTTGAGGAACACCAGCGGACTGGCTCTAACAGGGCTTAAATGGCTAATTTTCAATATTAGCTTCTACTAAAGTACCTTTAATTTTTTTTATTTGAAACAATTAACAATGTCGCATTGATCTCTGATATAAAAAATAGCGAAATATAAAATGTGAAAGAATTTAATAACAAAAGGAGAAATGAGATATCGTAACGAAGAATAGTTGTAATTGAGGAACCAAAGGAATACGAACTCGAAAAATTAGAACACTAGCTTAATAAAATACGGACTTTGACAATATTATATAAATATACATATGCTGTTTTCATAAATGTTATTGTTGGTATTATTTAATATTTAATTGTATAGATTTCAACCATATAAATATTAAAATTTGTATATTTAAGGGTACTTATACAAATAAAAATATCCACAATGAAATATAAAAACATATACCTCTATAATTTTTACTTTCATTTCCCCTTTGTCTGAAAATACTTATTTCTGCTAAGAAGAGGGTGGTTAGTGAAAGTTGTGTGATGCGCGTACCGCACCAGATCATTTAATGATTGCACGCCGAACCATCTCATTTATCAGTAAATAAATAATAAATTATATAAAACATTTTAATCCTATGTGCATATATAAATATAGTTTCAGAAAAAAATATATATATTACATAGCTCGTCATCGCTGTGTGATTAAGATACCCTAAGCGGTGATAAAACACGTGCTTAAGACTTTAATGAGACTAACCAAGTATCGTAAGCTATAGGTAGTCCAACCAACAAACTGGTTTTAAACTTATTGAAAATATTTTTATTACACGAGTTTAAGTTTTTATTGCCGTAAACCAACGACTTCCTGTCCTACAGTTTCCTTTAACAATACTCCACTTATCCCTGTTGAGCAAATCCGATACCTAGGACTCCACCTGGACAAACGACTAACTTGGAATCCTCATACTAGACTGAAACGACAAGAAACCGCTCGACGTTTCCGATTACTTCAGCACTTACTAGACAAACGCTCTAAACTTCCCATTAATTACAAAAGACTTATATACTTGACTATAATAAGACCTATTTGGACTTACGGAGTTGAGCTATGGGGCTCCACTAAACCATCGAATTCCTCTCGCATCCAATCCTTACAATCCAAAATCCTTCGTAAAATCCTCTATGCTCCTTACTTTGTCACTAATAAAATTATCCATAAAGATCTTAATCTTCCTTATGTTTCAGATCTGGCCCAATCCAGATACCTATCCTTCCATAATAAACTTCAGAATCATCCCAATCCTCTCGTTTCTAACCTTGCTTCCTCTTCAATTCCTCATAACCCTCCGAAGCGTCTGAAAAGAAGATGGCCCCGTGATCTCCTAATGTAGTCATATTATTAGAGTGCTACCATTGGGTAGTTACTCAGCAAGTGTTTTTCATGTCATTATATCAATTATGTCCAAATTTACTTGATGTGTTTATGTAATACAGTTGTAAATGTCATAAAGAAAAAAAAAAAAAAAAGTTTTTATTGATCGTGTTTCACAATTTATTATATGCGAAAACCCGTTTTGGAGTTATATGATGAAAAATCTGGTGCGTGCAACACCAAAATTGTATAGCAATTATTTTCTGGCCATGTTGGACTATTACAAAATTTTTGAATTGCATTTTTAACCGAGCTAAAGCTAAAAGATTACAGCTAACGAATCATAAATACCATTAAAATAACAAAAGTCCTATTTATTATTTCACCGGTTGATTAGGGATAGTACGATCCGTTGATTGTGGATTATGGATTGTACGACTATTAGTTATTAAACTGTTATTTTACATTGCAAAGTTTTCTAAAACGGAATTAAGAGATTTGCATTGTCTGTCATAGACAGATCTAAAGCTGTCACACTGTAAGTGGATTCTGTGGGAATATCACAAAGGAAAAATTTATCAAATTATTCACTAATTTAATTTTCGAAATGGTAACATGATGATTTTACATTGACAGAATAAAAGGTAGTTAGATAGCTAAATATTTAAATATAATATCAGATCTAGAGTTATTAAACAGTAGGAAATTATTTATAACACCATATCTTTGAAAAAAGGCGTCTAATTTCGGTTAAATATTTAAAATAAAGCTAATTAAAGATACTTTAGAGGAAAAAATATTGAACATTAGCCATTTAAGCCCTGTAAGGTGACATCAATGTATAAAGGACCTATCCGATATTAAAGGCTACTTAATAATACGCTGATATACCGAATTTAATCAAAATCGTTAGCCGTTTTCTAGAGAATAATAAAATGTGTATCACCGTAGATATAAAGTGGCACTCGGTTAGCCGATTTTAACGAAAAAGTTGCTGTCACATCAGAACTATATAGAAACATTAAATACGCAAATAAAATGACTTCTATCAATTTTTTAAAATATTTTTTTTTACTTATTCATTGAAAAATATTACAATCTGTCTCAAGGACAATCTATCAATTAACTGTTGGTAATAATAATAATAATAAGGCTTAGCGAACCCGAAGGTTCGATGCCGACACCACCAATCGCTTGTTACACACCTCCCTCCAACGTTCGCCGTCCAAACCCAGTCCCTTCAGATCGGCTTTAATGCAATCTTCCCACCTTCGCTTCGGTCTTCCCCTCGGACGCTTCCATTCGGCACAGCAAATATTAACTTTTTAGGAATTCTCTCGTTACTAAGCCCAACAACTTTACAAGCCCATTTGATTCGCCGCGATGAAATTACCTCAATTATATTACCCGGATACATCTCACGCAATTCGGCGTTGTGTAACCGTCTGAACTCTCCGGTTAACTCATCCTTCTTCGCTCCGAATATTCTACGCAATACTTTATTTTCAAAAACCTTAAGACGCTGTTCATCCCTTAATGTAAGCGGCCAAGTTTCGCATCCATAAAGAACTGTAGGCAAGATAATTGTTTTATAGATTCTAATTTTAAGTTCCGGGACAAGAGGCGCGAACTGAGTAGTTTTGTCACAGAAAAATAACAAGCATTCCCCGCCTTCAGTCTAACCTTAATCTCTTCTTCAATTTCGTTTTTTCTAGTTATCGTAGAACCTAGATACCTAAATTTATCTACCTGTTCAAACATATTACCATCTATATCGATATCACCAGTAGTATCGCCATTTTTGCAGCTAACCATATATTTTGTTTTATCCACGTT